TCGCTAATATTGGCCGATACCAATACCATGCCAATAATATTGTGCATCCCTAATTGTCACAGTAGGAGATTATTAACTATTTTTAATGTAACTGGGATTTTTTTTTTAACCTTAGGTTTAATTGTGGTGGATGAATATAGAAACATTTTTAATACAAAACGTAAAACAACATGAAACTTTCGCAATGTTCAGTCAAATTCTGAATTTACAAGTACAAAGCTAGGGCTAATTCAGTAATTTTGAATATTGGAGTGGGCTTCAGCCAGCTCTACATTAACAACTGGAAAAAGCTTTTAACACAGACACAAAGAAAAACTAATTGTGGCAAAAGTGTGCTCGTTATGACAGTTCTGACATATTGAAGTGGGGATCTGAACATAGCTTTTGAACATTAGTTTAAAGAAATAGAGATTAATTCTGACTGGATTGATGAGCTAACTGCTTGTCCAAGCAAAGCTTCAACCCAAGTGGATTGTTACCATTTTAAAAGTCTAATCTCAAAAATGCCAGAGCAGTTTATGTGATTGTTGTTTTCCAAACCTCTACATACAGACATGTATTTACATAGAACTCCAAAGGCTTTTTGTGAGTACAGAAGGCAGCAATAGCAGCTAGTTGTAGCACTTCCTGTGGATCATGGAGCACATCTTGCAGGATAATCAAAAGGTTTCTAACGGGAGTAACTGTATTGTGAAACTGATGGTAGTATAATATAGGTATATATATAATATAGGTTTATAAAGAAGAGTTTGCATTAACTGCAATAAAAATTTTGTAGAATGGAGTTGTTTTTATTTTGGTCCTTCTCAAAGTGGCTATTAGCTTTTCAATCCAGTCATATTTAAAGTCTATTAAACTAAAATCATTCAAAGAGCTATCTATAACAGTTAAGATATTATTGTCTGTACGCTTTCCACAAGGTCTGATTTAAGGCAAAGGAAGTGGAAACAGAAGGGCAGGACTTGATCCATGTTTTATATATATGTTAGATTACTGAATCATATCTTTCCTGTAAATTCATGACATTGCATCCACACAGTTTGGTACAACATAAAGACCCATGCTGGATTTATAAATGAAGCTGGTGCAAATCCCTCTCTTTAGGTATTTCCTTCTCTAAAGTTTACATGCATGAACATACAAACCATTAGGACGCACATTCACACTAAACCTGGACTTGTTTTTTTTTCTCATTTTCCATCCTTAAGTTTTAAGGAATACAAAATGCAAAGTCTCTAACGCTGATTATAAGTTAGCTAAAACATCAGATCTGTGAACAAACCATTTGGCTCCAGCTACTCAACGCCTGCATGCTGTTTAGATAAATCACCGTCACTAAATCCTGAAGATGAAGCCACTTTTTTTTTCTTTCAAACAGATACAAGACTATGCTATTTACTTAGGCACATATAGTACATTTCTGCAGAACCGGAAGCATTTTAATTTGTAGAGAACTACAATTAACTAAATATTTAAAAAAAAAATGCATGGAATTGATTGATGTGGGATGTTCCATGAGATAATATGGCATATATTTAAAAATAAAAACAAAATGTACATGAGGAACAGATTCTAACTTGCTAAAGTGCTATAGATGGATTTTTGTCCTTCTGCAATTAAAACAAACTAAATCTATTAAATCTCCCACCTGAAGACCAGCATCACTTCTTACAAACATTACTTTATTCTTTGGCTCTCATGTTTGCAGTTTTATACTTTAATTTCATAGTTTTATTCATATAGTCCTCTTTATATCTTTACAGTTTAGTCATTTCTTAACCCAACAACATACGAGATGAAATAACTTTGAGATGATTGCTCATGAAGTGAAAATGTTGATTGAAAAGTTGCATAATTGTTACAATTTATGTTCAGTTTTCCTGTCATAATCTGGAATGCTTATATTGACTTTTTTAAATTCTCGTACATATTCCAAAATATGTAAAACAGGAACTAAATCTCAGAAAGGAAGGCAACTTTTGGCTCAACTTTGCTTCCAAGTTACCATACAAATAGGAAAAGGTAACATTTCATAATTTTCAAGTGGAAAAAAATTATTGACCGATAACCGTACTTTCAGTGGTCCGTTTTGGTGGAGTATCACGCCTTCTTGCTCGATGTGTTTTCCTCAAAGTCCCACGGGCAAATGTCTGCCTTTTTGGCAGAACTTGCAGCTCCGCCTTTAGAGTTTGGATTGCTTTGCTTTTCTACAGAACTTTTATCTGCACCTTTTCTACCTGATGTATCCTCAAAATCCCATGGACAAACTTCTGCCTGCTTTGTTTTGGCTGCTCCAACGTTAACACTTTTCCTTTTTTCTACCAGGGGCACCTCCTGTCCACTCTCTATCTCCCACGGGCAGACCTGGGCCATTTTCTGTTGGCTCACCTGCTTCTCCGAAGATTTACTCTTGTCCTGAACTTTTGTTCTGCTTTTCTCATCATCGAATTCTTTTGACTTGTCTTTCTCAACTGTCCTTGAGATTGACGTGCCTTTCTTTTTTGAAGGGGATTCTTTAGTCTTAGATGTTTGCGCAGGACTAGGTGTCCGTTCCAGAGTTGGAGAAACTGCAGCGATGTCGTAGTCCCAGGGACATATATCAGCTTTTGATGTTGGTGGTTGGAGTGCTCCTGATTTTGGTGCATCTGATTTGGTGTTTGTTCCTCTCACATCCACCGTTGAGGTGCTCTTTTTCTGCTTTGCTGAATCTGGCGATCTGGCTAATTCTGTTGTCTTCTGTGGCTCTTCGAAGTCCCATGGACAGACCTCTGCCCGATAGGTTGTGGAGCTGTCTAACGCAGAATGAGGTTGCTTAGACTTTGACTGACCATGCATTTGTTGCCTTGACCCTTCTGTTGGACTGACTTGTTTCTCATCTCCTTCCTCCCGTGAACACAACTCAGCTCGAGTAGCCATTGTCCTCTGATTCTCCTTTGAGTGCTTACCACTCAATGGAGGCTGATCAGAAGCTTTTTGCTTCTGAGATTTGCTTCCTTTGGTGCTTCCTCCGTGAATCGTTGTGGTTTCTTTTGGTGCAATTGATACATGCTTCTGAATCTTGTTCTCAGAGGGTGTTGGGAGATCTTCCAATTCCCAGGGACACACTTCTGAGACATCATAGAAGTCTTTTCCCTTGACTGGATCAGAGCAGATCATGGGCTGGCTGCCACTCACTGGCTGTTTCATGATCCTGCCTTTAGCAAAGCTTTGTTTGTACTCAACTGACTGGCTGATTATCATATTGGATTGGGACTCATTCTCTGGTTCTGCATTTACCCTAGTGTCTTTGCACTTTGGCTGACTCTTCTTGCTGTAGTCCTCTGTGCTTTGGGTTTTTCCAGTCAAGCCTAAAGTCTTCTCTTTTGCACTGGCAATGACACTGAGGGACTTCTGCAGCATAGATGCTCGAGGATGAATTGGTTTCTTGTCAGCAGTGAGGTTATGGGCACTGGCAGACTTGCAAACTAAAGGAACAGACTCTGTAGATTCACTGGAGACATTAACATTCTCACTGGACTTCTTCTTAACCAATTTTTTGCTCTTGAGTGTGTCCAGGAGGGACCCTTCAGCTGGGACAGTCTCCATCTTGTCTGTCACAGAGCTATTGGAGTCTTCACTCTGATCACGGACATGGTCGTAGCTGCTGTAGGACTTCTTCAGGGAGAAAACCTTGTTCTTCAAAGTCTCTTCTTTCACTGGTTTTATTTGGTGACTTGGCTCTATTGGGTTCTTTCTCAACATGCAGATGCTGTTACGATTGCTCCCATATTCTCCTGCCTCCTTGTCTTCACGACTGCACTGTCGGTGCACAGACTCGGGTATCTCTGTGATGCGCCTCATCAGCGAGCGGCCCAGCCCTTTCTTAGAGCTTCGCTTCTTCTGCAGATGGGGGTTATTTGCAAGCATCTTCTTTCTCTTATAAATCTCCAGCTGGGAGTACAGTTTCTTCAACTCCTCCTGAAAACAGTATAAAAACAAAAAAGCAAAGCGTTGAGTCTTAACTGCTTATAATCAGAGGTTTTAAACCGCTACAAGACACTTCTACAAAAACGTGGGCAATCTACTTCACAGAGAACATGCATGTCACTTCATGACAGACGACTACAAACTCTTGTTAAAGACGGACTACTGAATATCACATGCTTTCTGAAAATAAAAATAAACACAGGACTGTCCAGAAAAGCATCAAAAAGGAAAACAAAGCATTTTCGTGTTAGGTCTGAAACAGCCTCTATTCTTGGGTCCTGAATTAAATCCACCTGTATCTTCATCCAGGACAGTAGATGCTTGCAAGCACCTGCATGTAATAAAACCTCTTCATCCAAAAAAAAAAAAAAAAAGGAAAAAGAAGGCTCAAGGTGCCCAAATCTTTTGGTAGAGAGACTTCTTCAGCTCTAACAGACAAATAGATATCTCTGCTCACGTTAGTACGTTTTTCCCAAAGGCTGTCGCAAGACCTTACGCCACAGCCATTAATAGAACTGAGATGGCCCATTTCTTCTGGTGTCTGCAATACAAAACTGCCATGGCTCAGTATTTGTAAAGGGTTTAAAAACAACGCCAGGTTATAGAAATGGAAAGGAAAGGTGCATGGAAACAATGCCTACCCGAATGTCCTCAGGGTCCAGGCTGTGCTCACTCCATGCTGATGTTATGCTGCTGTTGAGGTACGACCCGGAGCGACCCATGTCCAGCTCATCCTCATAGGCCTCAGAGGCTATGTCATCTCTAGCGTGGGTGCCAGTAAACAGGAACTGATGGAGTTGAATAAAACTGGTCAAAACTGGTTGTTTTATAAAAGCATGATTGCATCAATTACTGGGACTGATTATACGTTTTCTGTTCATTTTGAAACACATAAACTGTGTTGTAATGGACTGTGGATCTGTCACAGTCTGAGTAGGGTTGAACCCAGTGTTGAGAGTGGTGAGCTGAATGAGAAACAATGTAGCGGCTAACAGGGAGAGAGTGAGAACTGGCACAGGGAACACATGATGCTTAATTAAAACAGAAGAAATATAAAAGCACCATAAAACACAATGAGAAAACAAAACCAAAAGGCAAACTAAATAACCAAAACATCCAGACTATAACGGGGTTTTGTTCCAATACATTGCCTGAGGCGAAAGTGATGCGGTGTAAAAGTTAACAATAGCATACTTGTTTAAGCTGCTGGAAAATTTTGAGGTTTGAGTTCTTTTAGAAGGTAGAAATTTCATTTTGAGTGGGCCTAAGTAGCTATCTGAGATTGATCTGACCTGTCTGCTGCAGGTCAGATGTTGATTACTCATAAGTACTCCACACAACCCCACTTAAAACAAAAACAAAAACTGAACTACTCTTTTGATACTTTATCAAATTAGTATTAATTTTTAATATGTTGTTTAAATAGAAGAAATACATCTTAATTGATGCTTTAAATGTTGGTGGTTAGATGCGCGCCAAGTATAAAAACATTTAATGGGACTCCTATCTTCAGTTGTGAGGTTTGGGGTATGACAAATAAGAGTTATCTTAAACTAAAATATGTTAGTCTCAACCAAAATCCTAGCACACAACCAAAAAATAAAAGGAACAATAAAAACTTTGCCAGAAGTTGAATCTCCCTTTGTTTATTCAAATCTTGTTTCATTGCTGGAAAAATGGCTGCATGGCTGGACAAAAGGGGGCTTTGTTAGCAAATTTGAGATAATAGAAACTGAAGTTGATGTCCTGTTGTAAAATAATAAAGTTCTATATCCCTGGTAGTATTTTACGCACTAATTAAATTACTTAACTCACTCTGCAGCAGATTATATAATACTTTAAAGGCACACATAACTATGTGTAGGAAACTTGATAAGTTGAGTCACTTTTTTCACAGGTTTGATTTGCAGAATGTCTGGTGTAACTTTCTCTTAGGGTTGACAAACATCTTACATTTATCCATAATGCAGGTCAAAAATATATAGTTGCCTTTTTTCTCCCCATCTGATAATAGTAGAAATATTGAAAAAATCACAAATAGTTTTATGAATGTTCAGTCAGTGTTTTTAGTTGTTGTTTTTTTTTTAAACAAGGTGTGGCAATTTGGTGACATCCAAAACTTGACAAACCAATTGATGACAACATCATACAAGTAAAAATACAAATGATGATAACCCACAAATGTAAATCCTTACCTTGGGAATGAGTAGCAGACCCAAAGTAACTGTTACTGTCAAGTGTGTGTGGGTGAAGAACAGCAGAAGCATCCAATCAGGATGGAGCTCGGGGGCAAGAGTGAACCTGTGAGGAAGTGAAGGTAAAAAAAAAAAAAAAAAAAAAACAACAACAAAAAAACAAAGTAGATGAAGAGAAAAATGAACAAAGAGAAGAAACTTGGCCCACATTGAAAACAAGAAACATATTGTAAAGAATAGAACAGAATAGAATAGAATTGACCTTTATTGTCATTGCACCTAAATATAACAAAATTTGAGTTTGCTTCCCAGAGTGAAAAAGTAAACAGTATTACAGTATACAGTAGTCCCTCGCTACTTTGTGGTTCATTTATTGCAGACTCGCTCTATTGCGGTTTTTCAAAACAAGATTGGACATGACACACAATTGGCTGACTGAAGGATGAGCCGCACGATCGGCAGGGAATTTTTATTTTAAATAAATTATTTAAAATTATTTAGCACCTGCTGCAGCTTTGTGCAGCCCACACTGCAGGATAAACTTCCTGCTGCAGCTGATCAGCTGTTCACCGTGCAGAGCTGAGAAGTGGGCGCGGCCAAGACTGCTTGCAGGTGGCTGAGAGGAGGCAGAGAGCTAAAATCATGACATTCTGTGCACTTTTAGAGTGTTTAGAGTTTAGAAACATTGTTTAGAATATTGCAAGAGTGTGGGAAGGGTTTAAAACA